AGTAGTAGTACTAGCAACCGTGGTAGTAATAGTAGTGGTAATTGTAGTAGTCGTAGTGGTAGCAACAGTTGTAGTAGCAGTGGTAGTAGCAGTAGCAGTAGCAGTAGTAGTAGTAGTAGTAGTAGTAGTAGTAGTCGTAGTAGTAGTAGTAGTAGTAGTAGTAGTAGTAGTAGTAGTAGTAGTACTAGAAGTAGTAGTAGTAGTCGTAGTAGTAGTAGTAGTAGTATTAGTAGTAGTGATAGTAGTAGTAGTAGTAGTAGTAGTAGTAGAAGTACTGGTAATAGGAAAACTTATCGAAATTCGAAGAAATACTAGAAATACTTGTAGTAGTAGTAGTAGTAGTAGTAGTAGTAGTAGTAGTAGTAGTTGTTGTCGTCCTAGTAGTAGAATTACTAGTAATGGCACTAGTATTGGTCATAATAATTGCACGAGTAGTGGTAGTAGTAATACGGTTAGTATTCGTAGTCGTCGTCGTAGTAATAGTACTGGCGTTGGCAGGCCCAGCTGTGTGTGGTGCTACGCAGATCAAGGCAGGACCTCGCCATCCCTGGAGGGCGGCGAACTGCGAAACTGTCGCCTCTTTCGGCGGTTGATGGTGGCTCCCGGGGAGTGTTCAGCAACGGTCAAGTGCCAGGGTGCAAGGATAACGCTTCAGGGTGCTTGGTTCATTATCATTTCACTGGAAGGGGGGTATCTTGATTGCTTCATATGGGGTTAATACTGCACGTTCCTTGCCTTGACCTCATGAAATAAACAAGGCCATTCATTCTGACATTTAGGGGTGCCGATGATCCGTGCCTTCGGCGACGCTCCCTGGCGAATGCGTGCAATGCCCGCCCCTGCAATTGTCGTCGCCGCTGAACATCGGACTACCCCTCCCCAGCTTTCAGTTATTCGATACATGTGACAGCGATTCGAATATGCATCTATGTCTACATATATGTATTAATATATACATGTACATGTGTATATATAAATATATATATATATATATATATATATATATATTCTGCATCTATAGTATATGAGGTTGGCAGCCACCATAAGTAAAGCTCTTGGCTCACGACAGCCGTGGCCCAGACTCCTCGCCGACAGCTGCCCTTTCCATGGGGGGCCCCGGGGCCCGGAGCGGGCCCCGAGCCCGCGCCCGCGTGCGGCAGCCGCGCAGACAGAGGCGGCGCGGACCTGCCGTCGCCGCGCCACGCCCCCTATAGGGAACAGTGTCGCCCGCCCCGCCGACGACAGGGCCGCGGCTTCCCGGCAGCCGGCGGTGAAGACGTGGGACCTCCGCTTCTCTCGTGCTCCGCCCTGCTCGGCCCGCGTCTGCTCGTGGCCGGCGCGGCGGGGGGCGCCGACGGGGGCGGCGGGCCGTGGGGCGGCGCGCGGGCCGCGGCGTGCGCCGGGGAGTTTGGGGGCCGCGGGGCGCGCGTTCGGGGCACGGGGCGGGCCGCTGGCAACTCGCGGGCGGCTCACGGGCCCGTGGGGGCGGCTTGCCCCGGCCGACGGCAGGAGCAGCGACGACAGCAGCAGCAGCAGCACTCCCGGGCCCCAGGGGTGTCGCCCCAGCAGTGGCCCAGAGCACCGTCCACGGACTGTGCTGGCACGAAGTTCGGAAGACCAGGATCCTCCCAGAGACACGATTCCTGGATCCTGGGGGCTTCCCCAAAGGCCAGCTTGGCCATCCCGAGTCGTCTTCTGATGGTCCCGGCGCCTGGGGAGAGCCAGCGGAGGTCAACCGCTGAAACAAAAACCTCGGGAAGAAAAATCAGCTGTGTAAACATAAACTTTGGGAGCTCCGCGTGGATTTCCTTTGTCGGCGCTGCCCCTCTCAATCGCCTCCTCCTCCTCCTCTGCCTCGCCCTCCTCCGCGTCCTCCTTCTCCTCCTCTTCCTCCCCCTCCTCATCGTCTTTACAAACAAACCCACCCTGTCGCACCCCCAGACGTGACTGTATGCGCGGGCTTGGCGCTTCGCCCGTGACTTCCCCACTATTCGTGACCCTGACGTCTGAATTGTCGAACAAAAAACTTGAAACCATCCTGGCGGGATGGACATCAAACAAACTTCAACCTATAATTCCTAAACAACTTTTGGAACAAAGAACTTACAAAAAAAACTTCAAACAAACAAAACATTTTTTGGGATGGAGGGCGGGTCACTTTCAAAATCCCGTTCGTGCCTCAGCGCCGCGCGCACTCGTCTTGCACGTGCGCAAGAGCTTCACAAAATGGAGAGCTGGCCGTTGTCAAAATGGTTCTTTCGCCCGAGCGCCGCGCACATCCACCGTAAAAGTGCGCAGCGGTCTTCAAGATGGAGGGCGGGCCGTTTTCACAATGTGGTCATCGCTTGAATGCCGCTCACATTCACCTTAAGCATGTGTGGCAGCTTCAGGCAAGGAGGGCGGCTCCTTTCCAAGAGTTGGCTCTCGCCCTAGCGCCACGCAAGGACGCAACAGTCACGTGATTTGCGGTGTGAAATACGAAGTTCTGGCACGGCTTAAGATTGCCAGGGCGCAACAGACAGTCATATTGACTCGCGACGTTGAAGCCACAGGGACTGGGTCTTGGCGCGACTGAAGATTCTCAGACAGTTGTCATTCAATATGGCAATCCCCGCAATGAGCGTCAAATCTTGTAGGGATTTCTTAAGGGGGAACTTGGAGGAAGGGCTGATTGCAACATCGCTGATGCGTCTGGGGCGTCCTGGGTTTACACTGGTCCTCCTCTTCCTTGTCGCGCGCTTCGCTAGAGACACCGACACGAGCATGAACGTAAACTCTCGACGGTCCCCGCGGATTCCTCGGACCTGGGTCGGAACACACTCCCTGGCGCGCGGAGCGCGCCAGGGGCGGCCCCGCAGGCGCCACCAGGGGGGCCCAGCGTGGATCCAAGAACTCCGCGTGGACCGTCGAACGTTGATGTTTCTGCCAGTCCTTGGTCTTCGACTCCTGCCCCTCCTCCCTCTTTTGCAGCTGGGCGGACTCCAAGTGCCAAGCTTGTAGCGCTCGGTGGCAGGAAGACGCAACAGGGCGACTTCGGCGAAGTGCGCAACGCATTAAGCAGGACACGAGCGTAGCTTCCTTCCGCCCCCCTCCCCCCGTAGATGGACAAAAGAGTGGAACCCTTGACACCGCGACCCCACCCTCCCCCAACTTAAAATTAGCCCCAAGCATTCGGCAGCTCAGGCGTGAGGGGACAAAACAGGGGAACCCCCAGGGCCTCCGAGAGGCCGAAGCCTATCTTGAAATTGGGGGGAGGGGTGGGTGGGAGGCGAACGCAGAGTCGGAGACGAAGGGGTTCCACGCTGCTGTTCCCTGACCGTCCTCCTCCTCCTCCTCGTGGCCCCGTCCTCCTCCTCCCCCCCCTCGTGGCGAACCCGCGAAGAGACGCCCTGGGCCCCTGCGCGCCCATCATGCCGGGCATCGCGCCCGGCGCCATGGGCGGGGGCTGGCCGCCGAAGGCCTGGGCGGGCAGCGGGTGGGGGCTCTCATGGCGCGCAGCCCTCTGCGAGCGAAGGTCGCTGAGTCTCCCTCCCTTCCTCCTTCTCCTCCTCCACCTGCTCCTCCTCTTCACCTCCACCTGCTTCTCCTGCTCCTGCTCCTGCTCCTGCTCCTGCTCCTCCTCCTCCTCCTCCTCCTCCTCCTCCTCCTCCTCCCCTACATTCCTCCTCTTCAGGCAGCTCTCTGCCCCTGGTCCACTGCATTTGCGCTCCTCCTCCTCCTCCTCCTCCTCCTCCTCCTCCTCCTCCTGCATCTCATCTCCCCCACCCCAGTCCTCGTCTTCCTCGCCCTCATCCTCCCGTGCGGTACCGTCTGGGGCCCCTAGTAACTCTGAGGAGCTGCCGCTCCTAGCTTGCGCCTGTCTGCAAGTAGCTGGGTCTGCCCCTAAGCGACGAGGAGGCACGGCGGAAGGATTTGGCAGGGAACCGTCTCTTCAACGGTGGCCTCGGAAAATGGACGGAGAGCCCATTCTGAGAATGATGACGAGGCCAAACTGGCACATCCCGCATTCGATCGATGAACGCCGCGCGCTGTGAATTCCAAATCGGCATACCTGTCGCATCCACGCGACGAGTGGCTCTGGATGCATCACGCAACAGCACGAGGGCGGGCGTCCCTGGAGATGTCCGCCGACCGCAAGCAACTGAGTTGCACATTCTGAAAAGCACTCGTCGGACCAACCGCTGCGCGAATTAATCAGTTTTCAAACGAAATGCGCCCATGCAAATTTACTAGAGCGTCGTAACTCCTAGCGGCCTTCTGTCGCCTAGCCCGCCCAAGCAACAACGAAACCGCTTTGGTATATAAAACGCATACGCAACCAACATGCTACCCAACATTGATCTCGAACAATACCCTCGATGCGCAGTGCACGTGTTGCAACCTACGCTATGCCATCTGTGCGGTGACACCTACGTATTGCAAGCTATGTAGTGCAAGCTGGGGGGAAACTGTACGGAGCAATGTTGTGCAGGCTACGTGGTGCGAGCTATGTGATACAAGCTTTGTTGCGAAAGCTACGTGGTGCAAGAAGACGGATGCCACACACAAGCGCACTCACACACATACCTACACATATATCTATATATGTATATATATGTGTGTATATATATATATATATATATATCCCTGGAACCCCTGCAACCTCAGAAGATGCAAGCGTCCGCTTCCCCCGCCTTTGGGAGAACAGGTATAAGCTATCAGCGGCAGCGCTAACAAGAACGATAAGCGAACCATATGATTTCTCAGGCATTCCAGGGACGCACAGGGATGCTAAGTGACGATCGCTGTGCAGGCTCAGGGATCCCAGGGATTCCAGGGATGCGAAGTCACGATCCCTGAGCAGGCTCAGGGACCCCAGGGCTTCCAGGGATGCGAAGTCACGATCCCTGTGCAGGCTCAGGGATCCCAGGGATCCCAGGGATTCCTAACCCTCCAGCAAAACCGACCTGGGGATCCACCAGCGATCCCGCGCTCAGAATCCCTGGGATCCCTGAGCCTGCTCAGGGATCGCGACGTCGGTTGTCAGCAAACCATATGATTTCTCAGGGATCCCAGGGATTCCAAGGATGGCAAGTCACGATCCCTGAGCAGGCTCAGGGATCCCAGGGATTCCAGGGATGCGAAGTCACGATCCCTGTGCAGGCTCAGGGATCCCAGGGATCCCAGGGATTCCTAATCCTCCAGCAAAACCGACCTGGGGATCCACCAGCGATCCCGCGCTCAGAATCCCTGGGATCCCTGAGCCTGCTCAGGGATCGCGACGTCGGTGGTCAGCAAACCATATGATGTCTCAGGGATCCCAGGGATTCCAGGGATGCCAAGTCACGATCCCTGAGCAGGCTCAGGGATCCCAGGGATTCCAGGGATGCGACGTCACCATCCCTGTGCAGTCTCAGGGATCCCAGGGATCCCAGGGATTCCTGACCCTCCAGCAAAATCGGCCTGGCGACTTCGCAAAGATTTGGGGGGTTGGGAATCCCTGGGATCCCTGGGATCCCTGAGCCTGCACAGGGATCGTGACTTCGCATCCCTGGAATCCCTGGGATCCCTGAGCCTGCTCAGGGATCGTGACTTCGCATCCCTGGAATCCCTGGGATCCCTGAGAAATCATATGGTTTGCTGACAACCGACGTCGCGATCCCTGTGCGGGCTCAGGGATCCCAGGGATTCTGAGCGCGGGATCGCTGGTGGATCCCCAGGTCGGTTTTGCTGGAGGGTTAGGAATCCCTGGGATCCCTGGGATCCCTGAGCCTGCACAGGGATCGTGACTTCGCATCCCTGGAATCCCTGGGATCCCTGAGCCTGCTCAGGGATCGTGACTTGCCATCCTTGGAATCCCTGGGATCCCTGAGAAATCATATGGTTTGCTGACAACCGACGTCGCGATCCCTGAGCAGGCTCAGGGATCCCAGGGATTCTGAGCGCGGGATCGCTGGTGGATCCCCAGGTCGGTTTTGCTGGAGGGTTAGGAATCCCTGGGATCCCTGGGATCCCTGAGCCTGCACAGGGATCGTGACTTCGCATCCCTGGAATCCCTGGGATCCCTGAGCCTGCTCAGGGATCGTGACTTCGCATCTCTGGAATCCCTTGGATCCCTGAGCCTGCACAGCGATCGTCACTTAGCATCCCTGTGCATCCCTGGAATGCCTGAGAAATCATATGGTTCGCTTATCGTTCTTGTTAGCGCTGCCGCTGATAGCTTATACCTGTTCTCCCAAAGGCGGGGGAAGCGGACGCTTGCATCTTCTGAGGTTGCGTTAGAAAAAACCATTCCGCTTGCAACACGTGACTCGGGAAGAGGAACGGAAAGGAGCAGGGATGATGAGAAGAGGATGCGTCTCCAGCTTCGTGGAAGAGGGACAAGGCGTAGAGTGGGTGCTGGGGGGGGGGCTGTCCATATATATATATATATATATATAGATATATATGTATGTGTATATATAAATGTATACACATGTGTATAGATATATGGATACACGCGCATTCCCCAAACAACGCTTGCACTGAGGCGTTCGTCCTTGTTGTCCAGGGAGACTGGGGTTGCGGGTCGGTCTGGCGACTATGTTGTCGCCGCCGCCGCCTCGTCGCCGCCTCGTCGCCGCCTCGTCGCCGCCCGTCGTCTGGGCCTGAGGGTCCGTTTGGCGGGTTATGTTGTCGCCGTCGCCGCCCCGTCGCCGCCTCGTCGTCGTCCGTCGTCGGGGCCTCCAGGCCGGTCTGGCCGCCATGTTGTCGCCGTCGCCGCCTCGTCGCCGACCCCCGGCTGGGGGCCTGTGGGGTCGGACTGGCGGCGATGTTGTCATGGTCGCCGCCCCGTGGTCGCCTCGTCGCCGCCCCGTCGCCGCCTCGTCGCCGCTCGTCGTCAGGGACTGCATTGCTTCGCATTGCTTTAAGTTGCTATGCCGTGCGTCGCATTGCACTGCATTGCACTACTTTGCATGTGTTACATGGCTTTGCATTGCTATGCCGTACCATTGCGTTGCTGTGCGTTGCCAGGACGTGCGTTCCATTGTTTTGTGCTGCTTTGCATTGCTTTGCATCGCGTTGCATTGCCTCGCATCGTTTCCCATCGCTATGAATCGGTTGCACTGCATTGTATTACACTGCAATCGCAGTGATTTGTAATTGCATTGCGTTGCATCGCTAAAAATTCCTTTGCGCCACACCTGCGCGTACATTCTCCATTCTGAAGAAAAATTGGGATCTACCACCGTCCGCACCCCAGACCTGCTCAGACCCCCAAAAGATGTGCAATTTACAAAAATGATGCTGCCCCATCGTTCATTCTAAGTATGAGCTCGCATCATCCCAACCGGGTCGGCTTCGAATCCCCCCCCATCCGCGTCAAATCCGCAGACCCTGTCGGCGTGTGTGCGGGGCTTGTCTGTTCGAATGGTCGTCTACGTCAGGCATCGTCTCCGTCGTCCCCTTTCCCTCCACCCTCATCAAGCCAAACTTGCCACTGCTGTCATTTTGCACACGCGCTAAGAAAGGTAACGTAATGTCCGTGGCCGTGTTTCACACGCGTGTTGGATGCCTCGCAGAACAGTTGCGCAGCGCTTCTCTCCCAACTCCTTGTCCTACCAGACTCCTTTGTGGCCTCTTCCAAACGAGAACCGCCTGGTCGGGGATCTTCTGACCCGGGTCAATCCAGACCCGGGTCAGCAGGAAACCAAAAACTGCAATGCAGGAACAAAAGAACTGCGACGCAGGTCTTGGCAAACCCGGGTCAGCCAATATGTGCGGCCGCCTCGCGGCCACGAGCGGCTCCCAAACCCGGGTCAGCCAGAGGGGGTCTTCGCAGGATCCTGCAGGATCTGGCGCCCTGGCTGACCCCCGTTTGCATTGACCCCCGTCTCTTGGCTCCCGATCCTCGCCAAACGCCCGACGTCCGGTGCGGCCCTCTGAACCGACGTGTCACATTACCGATATCGAGCCGGAGGCTCTCCAGTCGAGATGGCTTGAGCCTGGAGCCAAAACCAGGCACGGGCGTCGGACCTGCGGAGCAGGCGAGCACACGCAACTCCCTGAAGATCCCCAGGGATGTCCATGCTTTTCGCCCCTGGAGCCTCTCTCGGGGATGAGCTTGAAGCCCTCTTGGGGCGCCTCGGAGGCTGCGTGAGCCCGCATCGGAGCTACGATGGGCGTGCTGGGGCCGTTTCGGGGCCCTGCGGGCCTCGTGTAGGGCCCTTGTCACGTGTCCGAGCTCGTGGGAACTCAAATGGGCGGCCGCCCTGAGCCCACTGGGGCGATTTGGGGCCGCTTAGGCCGTCTTGGCGCCCTCTCCTGGTGTCTTGGGTTCTTTTGGGCGCCTTTTGTGCTGTTTCCGGTCGTCGGGCAGCAGGCAGGCGAACACACGAAAAACTTCACGGGAATCAATGAGTTTCGCACCTGGAGCCTCTCCTGCGGATCAGCTGGGAGCTTTCCTGGGGAGTCGTGGAAGCCACGTGAGCGGTTTCGAAGCAATGGTCGGAGCGGTGTGGTGTTTTCTGGCCCCATTGAAAGCCTTTTTTTGGTGCCTTCTGTGGAAGGCCCTGTTGGAACGCGGAAGCCCGCCGGGCCCACCATGCGAACGAGAGCCACCGATTTCACTCCTTTCCGAGGAGACCTTTTGGACCGTCTTGGAGACTATCTTGGGGCCCCCTCCGGCGCCTCTTGGGCAATCTTGAACTCCGTTTTGCAAATAGGAAAAAGCGAATCTAATAACAGTAAGCGTTTGCCAAATGAAATGGAACGAGTCTGGCCTCCTGGGGCCCTCTTGAAGCCTTTTGGGTCTTCTCGAAGCCAACTTGGGGCAGTTCGGAGCGTTCTTGGGCCTCTATCGGGGCGTCCTGGAAGCCTCTTGGGCGGTCTGGAAGCTACCCTGGGCGCGTTTGGAGCGTTCTCGGGCGATCCGGGAACCTCTGGGGCCTCCACGAGAGCCCCCCGGGGGGAGGGAATGGCCAGCCCAGGGTCCCGGGGCCGAGATCTTCCACATTTGACATGTGTATATATCATCGGATAGCGGCAAAAAAAATCCGGGGGGTGACGTGGATGCCTCTGTTACGGGTGGCGGGGACGGGGGCACTGTGCGCAGGGGCCCCAGCCACTCCCAGGAACTTGATGCCCACGGGCGGCGGGTGGTTTCTTCAACCGGCCGAACGCATGAGCCCATATGGCCACGGGCATCGGGCAAAGTAAGAGGATGCACTTTCGTGTTGGCACACGGGGACGTATCCTTAAACAGATCTAGTAGCGGTGCGAAGTCGATAAAAGAAGGGCGGGGGGTGACGTTGGCGCCTGCTTTACACGTGGCGGACAAGGGTGCCCTGTGCGCAGGGGCCTCGGCCACCCCCCCACTTTTGCAACGGAAGTGGGTCACCAGGGAGGGGAGTTGGAGACACGGAGGGGCAAGGCGCGGATCCAGAGCCTCCTTGCCGGACGCTGCCCCGCGCCTCTCGCCCCGTCTACCAGGCACCGCCACACCGCCCTACCGCGCCGCGACCGTGCGCGAGGGAGCGTTGGCGCGGTCTCACCCTCCATGGGGGCTTTCGCGGTTGGGGCACCCCTTCCGCCCTGGATCCCCCCGCCGCCGCTGCAGAGAGAAAGGGGGTCCAGAAGCGAAAGCGCGGGCCCCCCCCGCGGCTGCGCCCGCCGGCCCCGCAGGCTTGCCATGAGTCCTCGCACTGGGCCCCCCGCCCCGAAGGGTCGCGCGGGGCCTCGCGCGCCGCCGCGGCCATCTGGACCTCCGCCCGCGCGACGTCGTCCGAGACCCGAGACGCACTGTGCTGAGCTGTCACAGCGCGCGCCCGCGGCCCCCCCAGCATCGCCCAGCTGCGGGCGCCCTGCCACCGGCGGCCGTCTCTCCTCGACGATATCGTTGTCTTCGGGGGTCGTGGCCCCGCCGGAGCAAGTGTCGAAGGCCGCGCGGGCCTCAGCCGCGACGATTGCCACCTTTTGCGCCGACTTGCGCCGACTTGCTTCCCAACGCCAGCCACTTCGCCATGCCTGGAATGTCTGCCGCCTCACCCTCCCGTAACGCAACACCTCCGCGAACCGCTGCCGAAGCTTAGACACGGACGCGCAGTGCGTCCTCGCGTAGGCGCCCGCACCTCCCAGCGACCACCTGCCCAGGTAGTCACGCTCGTTTTTCGGGATCCCCATCGCCGCCGTGGCCGAAGGGATCGTCGCCCGCTCGGGGTGATCTGTCCAGAAACCCACGACCTCCTCGGGGGTGGAAGAGTCGCCCTCCTCACCCGTGCAAGCCGCTCGCTTCAGCATCCGCCGGGGCGCATCCTGCCCCGCTGCCGCTGCCGCTGCGCGCCCAGCGGGCTTGCGGACCACCTTCTGCCTCGCGTCGTCGCGCCGCGGCAGAAAGTGCCCCCCCTCGAAGTCCGCGATATCTTGCCACAGGTCGAAGCCCGTCTGTATTCATGCGGGGCTCAACATGTAACACTCGCCGGAGGCAACAACGGCAACTATGGAATCGTGCGCCCCACCCCGCTAGTCTTCGCGCGCCCCAGCGTGGCCGTCAGGCCCACGCCCACGAAGGCGAAGCGCCTGTGGCAGAAGCCAGCTGTGGCCGACGCAGCGCAACACAGCCCGCACCTTGACGAGGCGGATCCGCCCCACTCCGCGTCGGTACCGCGCGAAATCTTCGTCTATGACCAACCGCTCCAGGGCCCCGACGAACGCGCGGGGGAAAGGTTCTGCCCTCGTCGTCGGGCCATCCGCCCGCACCGAACAGCATCTCCACGTTCGCGACGACCTGCTGGGCCTCGTGTCGAGCGGAATCTTTCTGGTCCAGGCCTGCCACGCGCTCTGTCCACAACATCGAGCGCAGAGCGTGGTTGAGCACCGTCGTCCCGCGCGGCTCGGCGGCCCTGGCATGCACGGAGCGCTCGAAATTCGCACAGTCGTCACGGGTCGCGAGACCCCGTGTGCGCGCAGGAAACACTTGCGCATCGTCTCCATGGTCAGCACATGCGACGTCACCGTGTTGATGCACGTGGCGCCCGGTGACGTCGTCCTTCGCCCGCTCTGGATCTATGCAGGGCCGCGCCGTCTCAAGCGAGGGCTTTCCCATCTCCTCGAGCAGCGCGACCAGGCGAGGCTTCCCCAAAGCCCACCCACTCCTGCACCTCGAGTCCGCGACGACTCTCCTCCGCAACCGCGCGGCACGTCCTACCGAAGCGGGTCCCCGCCATCGCAAGCGCGGGCCCCTGGCGGCGGCGGGGCCTCGGACGCCCCCCGAGCTGGTCGCCACCCCGAGGGACGCCACGGCGTCATCCAGCACGGCCCGTCGGCGGAAGCCAGGGGACGCCCTCAGCCGCTCCTGCACTGGCTCATCAACTACTGACTGGTCCACGAGCTCCTTCAGCGGGCGTCGTGCCTTCTGCACGCTGAAGTTCGCGGCCGCCGCCACCTGCACGACCGTTCCCTCGAACTCGGTCTCATCCGCCTGAAGCGCCAGGCGCGGGCCAAGGAGATCGTACTCATGAAGCGCCTTGCGGGCCCGCCGCCGCGCGGCTTCGAGGGCGCACGGCCCAAGGGCCAGCATCTGCGCCCAACTGTTGTTCGGAATCGGCCGAGTGCCTGCGCACAAACGACCACAGGCGTCAGACAGAGAGAGAAACGATACATCTTCGTGTTGGCACACCGGGGAAATGTATGTGTGTATGTATGTATGTATGTATGTATGTATGTATGTATGTATGTATGTATATGTACATATAACTATATACACATACATACATACATGTATACCGAAGCACACCGCAGTTCCGGATAAGAGTGAGGGGGCGGTGAAGACGTCGCCAGTCTGCGAGGCTCTGAAGAAGCCCGCCGCAGGCGCCTAGTTTTTCAAAGTATACAACGAGCGCGCCGCATGCGCAGATTTTTTCCCAGAAGCAATGTAGGTGGGTCGCGGGTTGGGTCGCGGGTGGGTCGCAAATGGGTCGCTTGTGGGTCGCGGGTGGGTCGCGGGCCAAGTCTCGGATGGGTCGCGGGTGAGTTGCGAGCGGGTCGCGGGTGGGTCGCGGGTGGGTCGCGGGTGGGTCGCAGGGTGGGTCGCGGGTGGGTCGCGGATGGGTCGCGGGCCAGGCCGCGGGTGGGTCGCGGGCTGGGTCGCGGGGGGGACGACGACAACATACAATAACAAACAACAACAGGCAACGACAACAATCCGCACACCAGAACCTCACTTCAGTCACGCGCTCAGGGACAGTGCATGACCGTTCGGCCCCCATCACTCAGGTAATATTGAGATACATACACACTACCAAACGCACCTCTTAGATGGAGTGGAGCTTAGAGGCGAATCATCACTGTCCCGTTCGAATGTGTTTGGCTGTTTCGCTCGGGAGATCCTCAACATTCTGAAATCCGGTGGCACCCCTCACGCAGATCGCGGCGTCACGGTCCAAAAACGCATCCATTGTTTCAACAAGTTGAACACAATACGTTTAACCACACAATGGGATGAATTGACTTTGAACCCGATTCTTCGAACATTGCAGTTTCGCTTGAGACATCCTCCAAACATCGAGTTCCTTTGTTCAACGCGAGTCTTAAAACAAATGCTCTCACCCAAGACACCTTCCCCAAATCGAGGCCCGACGTACAACGCACTCGCCTGCAAATAATACAGACACAACGCATACACCACACGAAAGACACACAGAACACACACATTAGACCTACGCCACACAGAACACACATAGAACGCACACACGCACACATAACACACACACACACACGCACACACACACACATCAAACTCACACGCACCACACCCAACATGAGCAAAGCATACACACACAACGCATAACACACCTAACAGACATAACACGCAGAACACGTGAACACACAGCCCACGCATAACTCGCTCATAGCACACACACACACACACCAGGCAACACACACAACATAACGCCAATCAACATAGCACACTCCTAACACAGAACGCACATACGCACACTCTGCAAATCAGTTTGTATGAGCACGGGCACGCACGCGCCACTTGTGTATCTATCCAGATAGATATATACGATGTGGCGAAATGTGGTGCATGCTGTTTGGTGGAAGCTATCTATATATACGATGCGGCGACATATACGTGGTGCATGCTGTTTGACGGAAGCTAGATATGTGGCGTAGGCTACGAGGTGACATGCAATTGGTGCATGCGATGCAGCGCCATCACTGCGGGGCAACAGGTGGGCGCAGGAGGGCGGGGGGAAAAAGAGGGGGAAAAGGGAGGAGAGGGAGGAAAAACGTGTGGGGAGGAGGCTGGGTGGAGGGGGAGGAGGTAGGACGCGGAAGGAGGGAGGCAAGGCGAAGGAGGAACAAGTCCAGCAAGAGGGGCCGACCTGCAGCCACTGCATCGCCTGAGCCGCCTGCGGCCCGCCATGCTTGGCCATCTCCCAGGCCGCCTGCGCCTGCCATGGCTTGCCCTCCCTCCTCCTCCTGCTGCTCCTCCTCCTCCGCCTGCTCCTGCTCTTCTCTCTCCTCCTTTTGCCTCCTCCTCCTCCTCGTCAGCACCAACCTCCTCATCCTCCTCCTCCTCCTCCTCCTCTTCATCCTTTTCCCTCCTCCCTCCTCCCTCGTCCCTCCTCCCCCTCCTGCTCCCTCCTCCTCCTCCTCCTCCTCCTCCTCCTCCACCTGCTCCTTCTTCTTCTCCTCCTCCTCCTCCGCCTCCTCCTCCTACTCTCCGCGTTTTACATGATCGGGTTCTGTGCTGTTCAACGAAACGTTGGGCCGGAGGGACGGCGGGAACGCGTCGAGCTTGAGCTCCCGAGGACGGCGCTCGACATGTACACATACTTAAGCAGGACGAGCAAATGTCCTCTTGAGGCGCCAATGGCGATGAGGAAATTCGCGAGACCACGTCGGTGCGGCCGAACTGACGGCGAACAGACAAGCTGTTCGCAGCAACTGGGACGAGAAAGTCGCGCGCCAAAAGAGTCGATGGGAGTGCGCGAGACAACGCAGGGCTCATCCTGGAAAACTGATAATCGGCACCCTTCCCCCGTAGAATCTGAGCACGGCCTGGTCGCGGGGTCCGCGGAACCGATTTCTTCCGGTGCAATTAATCCAATGGAACTCAAAACGGGCAACAATCGGATCCGCCGTATAAGAAAAAGACCAGACGCGGATCCAGAACATCCGCAATCGGATCCGCGCGGATAGAAATCGGATCCACCGAATCACAAACCAAAACCATACATCGATCTGTGCGAACTTACTTGGATCCGACGGCGGTTATCTCATACGTGCCTGCTCAAGACTTCAAACCGTCGTTCCGGGCCCAAGAGGAAGAAGCTTTCGTCCTGGGGGTGTTATGATGTTGCCACGCCCGAAACTGGGATGTGCAAGCGGGAAACTGGGACTCACGAGTTGGACGGAACCCGAACCGACGGCGGCGCCATGATTTCCGTCCCCATCGGGGCTCCCCCGAAAACCAACCTCGGAGCGTCGCCCTGGCGGCTGTCATGGTCACCGTAATCGAGGCCACGCTCGCGCCTAAATAAGCCTGACAGCTCGGAGCACCTGGAGCAGAATCCACGCTGCGCCCAATACCTTCCCAACCAAGGCTGCGCAGCCAGGCGATGAGATCCCTGTGCGCTCACTGCGAGATGGGCGACTCTGGAAACCCGGAGGAGAAGGATGAGGAGGAGGATTCTATTCTACTCTACTGATGTGCGTGGGGGGGAGGAGGGGGAGAAGGAAAAGGAGGAGGAGGAGGAGAAGGAGGAGGACCAGCGCTGGGCCGAGTCGTGCAACCACGGGGACGGGAGCACGGGCCTACCTGACAGACTTAGTCGGGACATGGGGGGGTACCCTTCTTGGGGTGCTTTCCAGCCCGAATTGATGCTATAGCGTGGGTCTGCTTGTAGCGGACCCCCTTGTCCTGAGAGGGTCCAAGACACCAAGACATTGCACGTGCAGTCTGCAGTGAGGGTGAGGAGGAGGAGGAGGCGGAGGAAGAGGAGGAGGAGGATGAACGGAGGAGGATGAAAGGAGGAGGAGGAGGAAGAGGAGGAGAAGGAGGAGGAGGAGGAGGAGGAGGAGGAGAGGAGGAGAGGAGGAAGAGGAAGAGGAGGAAGAGGAGGAGGAGGATGAGGAGGAGTAGAGGAGAAGGAGGAGGAAGAGGAGGAGGAGGATGAGAGGAGGAGGAGGAGGAGGAGGAGGAGGATGAGGAGGAGGACGACGAGGACGAGAAGGAGGAGGAGGAGGAGAATGAGGACCGCCAGCGGACCCGCCCTCCACTCGCTTCCGCTGGCTTCTGCTGGCCTCGGCTGGCGAGCGAGATGCCAGCCTCTCGGCTCCTCAAAGCAAGGCCTTCGCCAGGATTCCACGAATGGCCCCAGCCCCGAGGAGGAGGAGGAGCAGGGAGAGGAGAAAGAGGAGGAGGAGGGAGAGAAAGAGGAGGAGCAGGAGGAGGAGTGAGGACGGGCAGCAGCGTCAGCAGCAGCAGCAGCAGCAGCAACTTCTGTGCGCGGCGGCAGCAGCAGCCGGGTGGCGGTGCGCAGGTCCACCAGCGGGATGAGACGGAAGGGAAAGAACAGGAGTACTCCACGGCCCCTCGCGAAGCTCGCCCTACGTTTCTGGGAAAGGAGGGCCCTTCACCTCGTCCACTTCGTGCTCCGCCTCTTCCCTCTGCTCCTCGTCCTCATGCTCGATCTGGTTCGCGTCTTGCTGCTGAGCTGTTTCATCATGGCTGCAGTGGGGGACCAAACCATCCTGACGCTCGGGAGCGCGCGCTGGACGAGGACAGGCGGAGGAGAGCAACACCTCACGTTCCTCCCACCATTCAACGCCGCGTCTCTCGTGCAAGGCCGATCCGATACTTTCGTTCGGCGGCGTCCTCCGTCCGTGGGCGACCACCTCCTCCGCCTGGGCCCCCCCCTCCCCCTCGTGCCTCACATCGTCACGCCCAGACCATGACTGCGGCTCTCATGGAAACCATTCGGCCCCTCGTCATCCTGGTTCCCCCAGGTCGCCACCAGCCTCCGCCTTTCCCCTCTGACTCCTCCGACCCAGCGGGGGCTCCGCGCGGTGGGATGCGAGAGAGAGAGAGAGAGAGAGACAGAGGGAAAGAGAGAGAGGGATAAAGAGAGCGAGAGAGAGGGAGCGAGAGAGAGAGAGAGAGCGAGCGAGCGAGCGAGCGAGAGCGAGAGAGAAGGAGAGAGAAGGAGACAGAGAGAGAGAGAGCGCGAAAGAGAGAGAGCACGCAGCAGAGATGGCGTGGCGAGGGCGACAGGGGAGGCGGGAGAGGGTCGGGCTCGGAGCACGGACCCCGGGGCAGGCGGGAGAGCAGCAGGACGCGGCGGCGGCGACGCCGAGAGGCCCGCCCACGACCCAGCGGGCCATGTCGACGCCCCGCCTGGCCCGGGGCCGCGCCGAGGGCCCCTTCCAGGCCTCGGCCTCGGCCTCGGCCCCACGCGAGCGGGGAAGGGGAGGGGCGAGCGCGAGGACGGGAGATGGAACGCAGCATCAACTCGCCGTCGCTCGGACGTCCATTCCCTGTGTTTTTGTCGGTTTCGTGCGTGGCTTTTTCGCCAAATGATCCAGGATGCTCCTCGATGGTCCTCGCCGAAGGAACAATGCACACGTCCGAGCGATGTCAAGTCAATGGCACGCCGCCGCGGAGCGCACGTCGGCGTGCCACTGCTGAAGAAGCATCAGGCGCGAGGGAGTCGCACGCGGGCGGGCAACCAGCGGCAGCGTAGCACTGGTACGCTTCGCCCTTCCCCCCCCTCCCCCGAGGAAGACCGGGGGGGAGCCCCGGCCGACTCGCCGTCGCGTCGTGGCCCCTCGCTTGGCACTCCCAGCGCCTCGTGTGAGGCTGGGTGCGAGCCGGGGCCGCGGATCAAGAGGGGGCGGGGCGGGGGAGCAGAGGGGGAGGGAGGGAGCCAACCAGGTCGGACGACAAGTGAAGGGGAATTGGGACACACAAATAAATACACACAAATAAAAATATCCCCCTTATTCTCCCATATTTTCTGGGTTTCTGTCTTCCCCCCCACTTCCCATATTTTCCTATATTTTCTGGGAATCGCCGATTAATTGTGTCTGTGTGTTTTTGTCCCCTCCTGAACAAGGGGGGACAGCAAGGAGGGGGTCGCGAATCAGCCCGCGCAGCTGCTTTTCCCAACGCCTCCTGGCGCTGGGGGCGCCAACGTGTCGAGGAAGGCGCCGGGGCGAAGCGGGCGAGACCAGCTGCAGGCGGCAGACTGCGTACCCGAGCCTGGGGCCAAGGGGAGGGGTGGTGGTTAGGGGGACGGCGACGGGTCCAGACACCGCAGACACCAAGAAATATGAAACTTTGTCCCAGGACGGGCTTTTTTTCCTAGTCGACTCCTGACGGTCACGAGGCCCTGCAAAGGCCCCCGGAGGCCAAGAGTGTCGAACAAACCTTCCGTCGTGACCCCCCCGCGACGCGAGGAGGTTTGGGCGGATGCGGAGGGGAGAGCCTCACGGATGGCGGCATCCTTTACTGGGTCCTGGTGCCAGCAACGTCAGCGTCAGAGGGCCTCACTGCCTCCGGGCCTTGTAGACCAGCAGCGAGGTGAACGTGGCTAGCGCCTCGGAGCAGGGCTCGACCTCGACGGTGTTCTCCGTTTTCGTTTTGCTTCGTTTTCTCCTTCGTGTTGTCTTTGGTCCACCCTTGCTGCGAAGCGGAAGCAAAACGAAAAAGGTCGGCGAGATCGCTAAGACAACGTTTAGGTCGAGCCCTGCCTCGGAGCCCGGCGACCCTCCAGGCGCCGCGGGTGCCGCCAGGAGCACCACGGTCTGGAGGGCCTCGAAGACGGCGGGGCCCGCCCCGGCAGCGGGGGCCTGGCGGTAGGTGGTGACGACCCGGGCCAGGGCGCGAGGTGGCGGGGGCTGGCAGGGAGAGGGAAGACGTTCCGAGCGGGGACTTTGTCGACAGTGACCGCCTCGGGGTTCGACCTCCGGGGACCTCGGCGAGCGGCGGGTGGGGATCTCTTCGGGCCCCGGGGGGGGGGCGGGGCATACGTGATCCAGGGATTGCCCCCCCTCCCCCATGCACATGGGAAAGAGCCCGCCCTCCCGCTGGATGGGTAATTACGACCGTAGGCCTCGCCAAGGCCTCGCCAAGGCCTCGCGAGTGGTTGAGGATGCCGCTGCACGCACCCACCCTCTCTCCCCCTGTGGGTGTGGGATGGCTCGTCGTCGTCGCCGTCGCCGTCGCCGTCGTCGTCGGCGTCGGCGTCGGCGTCGGCGTCGGCGTCGGCGTCGGCGTCGGCGTCGGCGTCGGCGTCGGCGTCGGCGTCGGCGTCGGCGTCGGCGTCGTCGTCGTCGTCGTCGGCGTCGGCGTCGGCGTTGGCGTCGGCGTTGGCGTCGGCGTCTTCGACGTTGGCGTCGTCGGCGATCAGCGTCGTCGGCGTCGGCGTCGGTGGCGTCGTCGTCGTCGGCGTCGTCGTCCTTCAATCCCAACTATCTGAGGGTGGAGGGGGGGCTGTGGAACCCGGGGATCCATCCCATCTGCAGGGGGGCCTGCAGACCCTCGACCCGGCATCACACGCCCGCACCCACCGCCTGCCGATATGCCCCCGAAGGTCCATTCCCCGAGCAGGCTGTGGTGATGGACCAATGCCCGCCTCGCAAGTACGCACGACCCAGAAGCCGGAAAAAAAACTACACAAACATAAACTTTTGGAGGTCCACAAGGATTTCTTGGATCTAGGACCCCCCTCCCTGGCACGCTCCGCGCGCCAGGGGCGGCGCCGGAGGGGCCCAGCGCGGATCCAAAAAATCCGCGCGGAGCGTCGGAAATTTGTGTTTATGCGGTTGTTTCTTCTTCTTCGACGACGATCAGCACCCGGCTTCTACAGGCCCGTCTGTCGGGGATTGACAGAACCCCTTTAGCAAAACGTGGTTTAGTGAAAACGGCGGACGCAAGCCTGGAAAATGACCGCCGCTGCTCCCTTTCGAGAACCGCAATCGGGGGCGGCTTAAGAGGAGGGTGAGGAGGGTGTCCAGGGGGGGGGGGACGGGAATAAGAAGAGGCGCCATGAACTCTGGGGAGAAATCCTGGCCCCCGCTACGATATCCACCCCCTAGTAATCACCCCCCTCTCTGCCGCCCAGGAGGAGGAGGAGGAGGAGGAGGAGGAGGAGGAGGAGGAGGAGGAGGAGGAGGGGGAGGAGGAGGAGGAGGAGAACGGGCAATTCACTGACCGACGTGGCAGGGTGGGGGCTCTGTCCGCCCCCGCGTCCGTGGCACGCGCAGCGGCCGCTGCGCGTGCCTCGGCTCCGGGAGCCGCGCGCCACCGCTCGGACCGTGCCCGCATGGGGCAGGCAGCGGCCTGGTCGGGACTAGGCCTGGGGAGGCCCCGGGTGATGGCGGTGCGCAGCCATCCCCTGGCGGCGAGCGCGGGGGGGAATGGAGGAGGGCAGGAGCCGTCTCAGGATCGAGGAAGAGAACACGCCATCAGCATAAACTGCTGGCGCTCCGCGCGGACTTCTTGAATCCGCACTGGGGCCCCCCCCGGGGAGCCTCCGGCGCGGCCCCTGGCGCGCTGCGGGCGCCAGGGAGGGGGGCCCGAGGCAGAGCCAAGAAAAAACCGCATGGAGCGCCTAAAGTTAACTATGCTGGCGTTTCTTCCTTCTACAGGAGGCTCGGAAGGCCTCCAGCCTCCTGAGAAATTCTCCAAACCCTTCACCCCCAGAGCACACCTCTGACTCCTCAGAAGGCCCTAGGGCCTCCGAGAGGCCCGCTGCCTCCCAAGAGGGCCTTCTCCTCCTGCTCCCTCCCCCCCCTCTTCGCTCGCCCCGCCCAGCTTCGATCCTCCCCCCTCCCCGGCTTGCTGTAGGTGCCGCTGGGCGGCACGGCGACCTCGAAGAGCTCGGAGACGCGGAAGGAGCCGGGGCCGTCGGCGCCCGGCAGGCCCGAGGAGCCCACGGCGGCGAGGCTGCGCTTGCCCACCGCGCCGGTCGCCTCCCAGACGTCCTCGAAGGTGCTCACGACGCGGACGCTCGCCCGCGGGCCCGCCACCGCGGCGGCCGCGGCCACGACGCCCGCGCACACGCCGCCCGCCTCGGAGGCCGGGGCCAGCGGGGCAGGAGGGGAGCGGGGAGGGGCGGGGAGCTCGGAGATCCGGCGGCTCCGGGGGCACGGAGGGGGCGGCCCCATATATAAAGAGGCACTTCGGGGCCCCTGTGGGGGCCCCTGCTGGCTGCAAGAGGAGCCTTTTTATAAGGGGCGCCTGCAGGCCCGTTTCGTCACCCCCACGCGGGCCACCCCCCCCCCCCACTGCCACCCACCCGAGCGCCGCGGCCCGCCGGGGCCGCGGCGGGAACGCCCTGAGAGCGTTCCAAGAACGCGCTGGAACGATGTGTCCTGGTCTGGCCATCGCTCGGACGTCCATTCCCTGTGCTTTTTTCAGTTTCGTGCGTGGTATTTTTCGTCAAATGATCAAGGATGTTCCTCGATGGTCCTCGCCGAAGGAAAAATGCACACGTCCGAGCGATGCCAAGTGGTGCCAGAAGCCTCCTCGAGATCAAACGCGAGTTTTTCATGTCAATCGGCGCGCGAAGCGCGGCCCGAGGGGTCGGATTTGTGGTGTCCTCAGTCGCTAACTCCGCCGCGACAATTGAAACTTTGGAGTCCTGGGGCGCCGCCACGTCGCGGGTAGAACTTGCGCCTGATTTCGAGGAGGGATGTACAGTCATCGTGCTGCCATGAGGAATGCACACCTGGTGGGGCCAGCAACCACGAGTCACGATTGAGTCGGGCTTGATTACTTTCCAGGCGCAACCTTCATGCAAGCGGCGCAGTGCGCTCATGGTCGCCGTGCGCATGGGCTTGTTCGTCCTTGACACGCTTTGGAGTGGCCGTTCGCACACACACACACACACACACACACACACACACACACACACATATATAGTTTTACGTATGGAAATATATAAAACGATATATATATATAACATGCATATGTCGAAGAACCTTTACGCTCTCCTTGCTTTGTGCTGCCGTCCTTCATGCTTGTCGCCTTCTTCCTGATCCTCAGGTTCTTTTCCAAGTTCTAACCTACCACGCATGATGTTGCTCCCATCGTACTGAAGGACCACGCCCCAGAAATAATTCTTCGAGCGCCTGGAACAGTGTCGAAAGAGTGTCGAAACAGTGTCGGGCGAGTGACTCCCAGGGCCCGACGCGTGAAAACCCTAGAATTTCGGCATTTTCTTGATGCTCGCCATTCTTTCTGGTGATCAATACTAAAGTAGACTGGAACATCATAAGCCTACCATCGGCTGCTCCTGCTGTGCAGCTCGTCGACGAGGCAGGCTGCCCAAAAGGAACGATAAGGTTGTGGATGCCACGGCAATGGACACCCTAACAGCCCTATCATCGAATCTAAAAACGTGTTTGAGATGTATGATTTTTTCTGTTTCATGCCTTTGGCTCTGGTTAAAAATAGCAACTGGCCAGGATTATCTGTGTCTCTTTGGACTCTGCTGCTGGAACTTTGCCTTGTTGCAACCGTTTGAGAGCACGCTGGCCATGCACTGTAGACTTGCCCTCACAACGGTAAAATAAATTATTTGTTCCCTTCTGGGCGTAAAAACCGCATTTCAAACAGATAAGTGTGCCGAATCTCTGGTGGACTCCAATCGCATGTGTAGCGTGCAACTCTCTAAAACATGTTCTAGACATCTGGAAATTATTTGGCAACGTGCATCCTCTCCATGGATCGTCCTCCACGACAAAAAAAGGGCCTCGCTGGACACGGCGAGAGCCTCGGCGACGACCGCCCCGGCGCCCCGCCTCCCGGCTCCGACGGGGTGCTCCCAGGGGCGGCCCGAGCAAGCCGGAGCCCCATCGCTCTGAGCCCCAAGCGTCAAAACGCGACCACTATAGGAGGTCTTCGTCGGAAGGATCCAGGAAGATTTTTTTGAGGGGACGTATCGGACAGAATGGATGACCTCGCAAGCTGGCAAAACTGGTATCAGGGCGGTCCTGGAGACGTCGGGGCGCTGACCTAAGGAACCCTAAACAAGGAGCGAGGCCCCTTTTATCCACAAGTGAAGCTTCGGCTTCCCATCGAAAACCTAAGGGAAACATTGGGCAGGCTGTGAAACGGTTAAGGAACACTGGGCCCTTCCCCAGCAGAACTAAGCCGAGTTTGGGGGGCTGAAACACCGGAGTGAGCCTCGGACTCAGCGGGATTCAGCGGGATTCAGCGGGATTCAGCGGGATTCAGCCGGACTTCGGACCAGGGCAACATCAGAATTTGAGCTCCCGGGAGCTGCATCCGAACCCAAGTGGCTCTTCCCAGGCAGGATCGCGCCGGTAAAGATAAGTAAATCAGGACGGGCGATTTCTGGCCAGTTTCGGCCTCGGGGGGCCCTCGCCGGGCCTAGGGAGCGTCAAGCAAGGACTCAGGATGAAGAACCGGCCCCGGGGAAAGGGTCGGGACTTACAGAGACGCCGCTCTGAAAAAATCAGGACGACGCATGTCTGATTTCTTCACTCGCCACCGCCCGGACGTCCTTTCCCCGAGCGTTTTTCCCGATTCCGCGCGTGTATGTGTCCCCCAGATGGCCCAAGTCGAGGAAGAAAAAACGGCATAAACACAAACTTTCGACACTCCGCGCAGATTTCTTGGATCTGCGCCAGACCCCCCTCCTTGCCGCGCGGAACGCGCAAGACGCGGTGCCGGAGGCGCCGCAGGGGGGGTCCAGCGCGGAACCAAGAAATCCGCGCGGAGCGCCGAAAGTTTGTGGTTATGCAGTTTTTTCTTCGATCCAACGGCTCCCCAATGGTCCTCGCCGAGAAAGAATGCGCACGTCTAGAGGCCTCCCAGATGGGGACCCAGTAGACGGGGCCAGAGAATTGCGCCAATTCGCCGCTGCATCACAGATACATCGACGATGCATCGACGACGCATCGGCGACGTCGGCGATGCGTCGGAGACGTCGGCATGGAGCAAAGGGCTCCACATCGAGCCGCATCGCCGATGCATCGGCGGCGCGGAGCGATCCTCCGAACCCCATCTACTCCGACCCCATCTAGGATTCAGTCGGGCACGCCCCTCTACAGGAGGAATGTTCAAAACTTGTCAAACAATGATAACGGGAAGATTTTCGGAGTATGTTTTTATTGCAAAATGTTTGGCTATTCTTTGTTTTTCGTTCAAAAGTCCGCCTGTAAGGAGACACGCCCCACTTAAATCCAGGAGGCCTCGAATTAAGTCGGGCGTGTCCCCATACAGGGGGATTTTCGACGAAATATGAAAATACCCCCAAAATAATCCCAAAATAGTCCAACAATGGTCTGGGGACTATTTTTGAATATTGTTTGACCTTTTTGGGGCATTTCTGGGATATCTTTTATTTTTCGTCGAAAATCCCCCTGTAGGGGGACACGCCCGACTTAACTGTAGAGGGACACGCCCGACTTAAGTCCAGGAGGCCTAGCATACGCCCTAGCGATGCCACAGTCGTTAACCGTGTCGGCTGCAGCCCCCGTAGGAGGGGGCCCGAGGCGCGAAGGGCACGAGCACGCGAGGAAGAGGAGGAGGAGGAGGAGGAAGAGGAGGAGAAGGAGGAGGAGGAGGAGGGGGAGGGGGAGGAGGAGGAGGAGGACGAGGAGGAAGAGGAGGAGGGTGAGGAGGAGGAGGAGGAGGAGGGGGAGGAGGAGGAAGAGGAGGAGGGGGAGGAGGAGGAGGAGGAGGGGGAGGAGTAGGAGGAGGAGGAGGAGTTTTGCCTGGCGAGCAATGCTTGCTGTGCTGAGCTCAGCTTGCGCGGCCTACTACTTCTAAGGCCGCCGGCGCACTGATGAATTAATCTCCTCGCCGAGACGGTACGTCGGGAGGGGGACTCGGGAGGACCTGTCAGGAGGAAGGGAGACGATGGGGCGAGGAGGCAGCGGAGACGGCCGGAGTCGACCGCCTAGTCGGACATTTCGGGAGCGCCGGTGTCGTCCCCCTTGCCCTCGCCGGAAGAACCCAAGGCGTCCCCGAAACGAGAATCAAATACGAACGCACCTAGCGGCATCGGCCGATCGTCCGCGAGCGTGTGGCCAGTCCGAAAATCTCGCGACTCCCATAAACGGTTGAGTCGGAAAGCCGTGGCCGAGCCTCGCACGATGCCTCTTGAGCAAGACTGCGCTAAGGAAGCGGCGTTCTCGCGAGAATAGCTGCCACAAGCACAACAGAACACATAATGATGCACACTCCACAGCCTGTGCCGTCTACTCACGCCCTCGCACTTGGCAGGAAGGCTGGATGAAACAAGGCCGCTGCGCATGCACCGCATGCGACGGAACCGCACGCGCAACTTTACACAAGGTCGTGGCGGCCGTCGCACGGGGCGATGCGCCCGGGTGCAGAAGGGCCCTCCCTCTCCTCCAGGACGCGATTGCTCTCCTGCTGAGGAAAAGGCCAGGCGTGGAGGAATCGCCCGACATACTTGCCAACGACCTGTGCAAGTTGGTGAGCACCGATGACCCTCCGCTCGGCCTCAGAACTTTTGGGGTGGAGGGCTGCACCTGCTTTGGCCGCGGTGTCGGCCTGCCGGTTGCCGAGGCGAAAATACCGAGAATCGTCGAACTGGAAGTCGTCGGAGACTCTGGCATGCCCCTTGACTTGGCGAACCTGAAACCCAAACTCGAAATCGTCAAGGGCATCCCAAATCATCGTCCACACATCGGCCGCCACGCAGCCCGAGTGAGTGGTCTCTGTCCTGCCGTTGGCGAAGGACGTCACAACCCACAAGCAATCAGAGAAAAGCGTGTTACCACCTGCACCGCGGTGACGGAGACAGGCTAGCAGAGCCCATCCTTCGGCGATCTCTGAATCCTGTATCCGGCCTGGCACTGGGCCGTACATTGAACGAACAACTGCGCCTAGAGGGTCGATCTGCACCACTCCCCAGCCCGTCCTGCAAACCACGGGATCCCCCTGCACGATCGATGACACTGAGCCGTCGCCGAAGACATCTCCCTCTAGGTGCCCTCCGCGCGGCCGAACCTGCCAGCGCACAGAAAATTCATGGGCAGGGGAAGGGAGGAAGGGGCGAGGATCGGGCACGTGAGCGTGACGCCACAAGCACCATTCAGGATGCGCCCGTTCAGCTGCCTTCGCTCTATCAGCCATGTCGCAGTCGCGTCGCCACAGCCGAGTGACGGGGCAGTCGCGCCAGGATGCACGCTGTAGGGGGCCGCCTGGTCCGCCGCAGCACGGGCAGCAGGCGGAAGCCTGCAAGCCTGCAGCGCGCCGACGAGCAGCGCCCCAGATACCGTTCCCGACGATCGCCCGCGCGAGGCCACGATGTCGACTACTCCAGTCGGCACTCGGGGAGCGCGTGGCCAGCGCGCGCAACGGCTCCAGGTACGGCTCGCGCGGCAGGTCGCGGAGGTAGTCGTGGCGGTCCATGCCGCCGCGCAGCAACCACCTCTCTAGCGAGCGCCGCGCCAGGACGGCGACCGCCTTGGGGCACGTCTCGGTCATGTTGATGGTGATGCCGTCGTCGGTGCGGAAAGTGGGCGCACTGGAGACGACATGCCATCCCATGTGCCTGGCAGAAGCAACAGCCGCCCCCACGGGGCCCTTGACCAGCAGCCAGATCTTGCCGTGGCCGCAGTTGGTGAACGCTGCGTCCGCATCGTAGACGAGCTTCGTGAGCCAGTCGCGCCGCGCCCAGGTGTCCCACGCGGCGCGCGCGAGGTTGGCCACGGGCCCGACGGTGGACGCATCAGCGGGATCCACCATGTGGGGCGATGCCTGGAGGGCCAAGTCCATCGTCGCCGAGCGGCCGT